GAACTTAAGAGAACCAAATTCATTCCCTTATATGTTATTGAGTTAGAGGAGGCTAGTGAAATGCAAAAGATGGCTGAGAGTCTTGAGAACCTACAAGCTGAAAAGGATTTAGTGGTTGATAATGTCTTTTCTGATATTAAATTTCAGTTTTCCAAGGAGTCAGCATTAAGTGAAGTGGAGCAATGGGCTCATTGGGCTGATTGCCCCCTTTTCAAATTTCTAAAACTGCAACAAAAGCAAGCACCCATTTGTTTGGGCAAAATCCTAAGTTAGTAGTGAGAAGGCAAATGCATAGGGCATCAAAACTGCAATCTACCCCTGCACCATCACTACAAGTCTCCGCTCTTAAGAAAAAAGGAAAAGGTAAAAAGAAGAACAAGGGGAAACACCAATATGAAAATACTCAATTGAACATTGAGCTCTTCAGTAAGGAGTTGAAACGATTATAAGCTTATGACATTCCTTCATTGAACAAACCCCAAATACCCCTACTTGATATTTTTGTTGAAGAGAATGTAGTTCCCACTACTGTTGAAGGTGAAATAGGACAACTTGTCGAGCAAGAGATAACTTCATATGAGGATGGTAATGACTACATTCATGGGGATGAAGACAACTTATGCAGTGAGGAAGTTTCTGTACATGAAGAATGTGACATTGAGGAAGAGATAGATCTAGATGGTGACACAAGTAAGATGATGTCTTTATGTCAAGAACTAGTAGATGAGAATGAAAGTGGTAGTCAGCTTCTTGTTAATAAAATGGCCAGGGTGTTTAATAAAGGGAGGCTTTGGACTAGAAGCAGAGATGAAATGGTTGACTTAAATGTGGGTGATATTTTAGTTGCAAGGAAGACTTCCTTAGGCTTATAATGGATTATACTATTCAAAGAGGCCTAACTTTGAGGAAAATAAAGAATGACAAGAGTAGATACACTCAAAGATGAAAGAATGAGAAGTGCAGCTTTAAAATACATTCCTCTGTGTTAATTGATAAAAAGTCTTGGATGATTAAGTCATTTAATGAAGGTCAAGGGTGCTCAGTCAAAGAACATAACTCTAGATCTCGTGCTGGTTGGGTTGCTACCCAACTCATAGAAGACTAGAGGGCTAATGAGGACATGAAAGCAGGAACAACTCAAAAGATTATTCTTGAAAAATACGGTTGTGTTATTCCAAAATACACATGATGGAGGGAACTTAAATTGATGCGAGATATTGTCTATGGCAGGCATGAGGATGGTTACAGCTTACTCTCCCAGTATATGGAGGTATTCAAAGAGAGAAACCCTGGTTCTCTTTGTTGGATCAAGTGCATACAAATGGTCCAACAAAAAACCCGATATTTATAAGAAGTGTAATTTGTATTGGATCAGCCATTGAAGCTTACATTAAATTTTGTAGACCTCTTATTGGGATTGATGCTTGCTTCTTGAAGGGTCCATACCAAGGGGTACTCTTAACTGCAACATTTCTCTAAATTAAACCGGTAGAAGTCTTTGCATCATCACATGACAATCATGGGTTTTCATGTGTCGCATTTTGAACTTACAAATATAAACACAATTTCCTACATTCAATGTGTAGCCATCTGAAAATTTTAGCACAATAAGCCATTCTAAGAGTTTTCTTTTATGATCACTGCTAACTTGATAGATTGCTTTGATTAACGGACCATCACTGTTGGGTTCAATTGCGATTTTAGGTCTATCGCGATCTAACCACACATCCTTTCGAGCGGCAAGACCGTCTTTTGATTTGTTTCGAAAATTTTGAATTGTGTTGAGAATATTGTCAAAGACATTTTTCCAAACATGTATAAGATCTAAATTTTGCCGCAGAAGTAAGTCTTTCCAGTAAGGTAAGTCCCAAAAGATACTTCTTTATGTCGATTGATGCTCTATGCCATAGCCAATGAGGTTGTTAAATGGATCCTCTACCGTAGAAGAAAAATGTTCTACACGTTCTAAAATCTACAACCCATTAAGGACGGGTGGTGGTGGATCACCCTTAATTTTTCCTTTAAGAAATGATTTCTTGTCTCTCCAATAAGGATGATTATGTGGGATAAATCCTTTGTGACAATCAAAATAAGTAGGCTTCCTACTGTGTTTAAGATAAAATATTTCCCACCACTCCATGCAGATAGGACAACCTTTTACTCCAACAGTACTCCACCCTGAAAGCATACCACATGTGGAGAAATTACTTATCGTCCAAATCAAAGAACCCCTCATATTAAATATTTGGTCCCTAGATTCATCATACGTTGGAACCCTAACTTCCCACGTATGCTTTAACTCATCGATCACAGGTTGCATATATGCATCAAGTCGTTTCTTAGGATTTTTTGGACTAGGACAGATTAAAATTAAAACTAGGAACTCACTATGCATACACAGGTCTGAGATAGATTATATGGTGTGATCATAACTGGCCAACACGAGAACTACGTCCCAAATTTTCCATGGGGAACAAATCCATATATGCATAATCTTTGACGTACGTTGTGTGGCTCACTGGAAAAATGAGGGTAACACCGATCTAAGTGTTTCTATTCCTCGGTGTCTGATGGGTGACACATTAAACCGATTTCTGTTTCGTGTTCGACATGCCAAGACATATGCTTAGGTGAGACGCATATAACCGTTGTAAGCATGGAGTGAGTGGAAGACATATCAACTCTCACCATGCGTATATCTTACCTCGCCTTTCACTCATCAATTTATACATATCTAGCCGACAGAATTTACATGTGTGCAAAGATTCATCATTTTCCAAAACAACATACACCTTCGATGGACATGCATCAATTTTGATAACTACAGGCCCCAATTCTGAGATCTTCTTCTTCAAATTATAAAAATCAGTATGTAACTTATGATCACGTGGCAACCAGTCTCCTACAGTTTCCGATCACATCGACATGCAAGCTTTAGGGACATTACAATCACATTTAGTACTCAGCATTTCAGACAGAGTAGCTAAGGAGGACTTTGAATCACAACCTTTATACAATGATTTATCTGCTACCTGTAAAACATCTTGAAATATATATGATAATATATTACTTTGATCATGATGATAAGGTGATGAAGTTGGAACATCTTTTGTATTCTCATGTTGAGGGAAAGGAAATTTACTTGGGGTAATTGCATCATACACACTTGTTGATCCCAAGGCATGTCTGTTGGAGTTGTGCCCTGATGGCCAACTGTTTATCATTATTCTATCATCTATAGGCAAATATAATATGTTTACACATCTCATGCTAATGTAAACAAATATTATATTCCTAGATTTATATTTAAAGATGTTTATCAGATAGTGTTATTCTGCTGATGAGACTAACATCTTGAAATAAATATTTATCTGAATGTCCATAGTCGAGTATTAACGAGAGTGGGATATCTTTAATGCATGTGAGACTAGTGTGTGTTGGATGTTTTACTTAGTCTCATAGTCAATGACAGTGTGTTCGTATCCGCACATGGGCAGATATTATCTAGAGATAATAGGATGTCGGACTGACCCATCCTAAAGATGTTGCTTGAATTTTTAGTTCATGCTCTAAATATCTTTAGCGCGACCACGGGTGTAACTATCCTTCGACTTGAAGTATTACGTTTTCTGCATATGTGAACCCGCATACTTTGATGCGTTGTCCTAAGCCATATGAAATAAGGATGGTATACAGGCTTTGTTTTGGGTATGCCGCAGTGCATATTCAGAAACGTAGATTACTTACATAGGATTTGTCACTACTCTTTTTAAGAGATTAATGTCTTATGGGGCCCACTGATAAGTTATGATTGAGAAAATTGCATTGCGATGCTGAGATGTTTTTATGACGTCTGTTCCTATCAGTCAGACTTGATAAATCAGTGAATGACTTAATGGATACAAATTGGATTTTATTAATCCCTTGCATTAAGTTTAGACATTGAGACAAAGGGATACAGTTACACGGAGTCTGAGTCGTGGAAAGGTTTTGACGGTGCAAACGTCTTAACTTATAATCTGGGGGCAATAATGTGTTGCTAGATACCGCTTATTGCTTATAGTATTGGTGCAGAGCCAATACTGTGGCCAGCTTTATAAGTGCCTATACGGGTCACACACTTTG